TTTTTATTAATTATTAACAATACAATTACATAAAAAAGTTATTATATATACCGTATATAAATTGCTTATCATTTTATTTTTATTATATTCTATAGTATTGTAAATTAACTAACTTTTTGTTTATATTATTTTAGTATATTAATACACAGTGCTATTATTACACATTATTATAAATAAATAAATTAATTAATTAGATATATGATTAAATAATAATAATATTAATAAAAATAATAATAAAATAATTATAATAATAAAATAATTATAATAATAATAATAACATTTAACAATTATTATTRTTATAAAAAATTTAGGTTATATAATAAACTAGTTAAAATTATAAATAAAAAATAAATTAAATTAAATTAAAGATCATCTAGCTTGTCGACTATGTAGTATATTATACGACTGGCCCAACACATACTGTACATTTGAAGCTGTAAATATGATTACCAKGAATAGTGTGGCCATTACGGAAACAATATAGCCGAGTACTAAATGTTGGACCAATGGAAACTCTAGTAATAGTACAATATAGGCGCCCAAACTGACTACCGATCCCAGCAATGTTCAATTATTTAGCAATATATTTTGACCAATACGTACAGTTATATTGATCAATTTCATAGCATAGCTGATCGTATTGTTTGAGCACCCGGTCCTCCTCGACATCCATTGCTAAACGCCTCCTATTCCTTATAAGCAGTGTACTATTGATAGTACGTATTTTCAATTTCAAATATAGACATAGTATATAGAAATAGTATAATTTCCATAAACTGATACCGAAATTATAGTAGCCAACTAGGCTAGTATGCAAACCGTTTAGTAGGCCATATCCAAGTGTATCCCACGGTGACAATAGTATAGCATAGGGTACGACTACTATTAAGCCCATAAATGGTGTCGTACGTCGGATAGCAAACCAGGTCCACCGGTATAGACGTTTGGCCTGTCGGGCCAATCGGACAACAGCCCGGCGATTGGTTAGACCAACCGATTCGGGCGATCGCCGGCCTGTTAGCACCGAAAATATTGTCAGCAAAAATACCGGTTCATTATGACAACCATTAGCACTTGATGGTAGGCAGTGGTAGTTATAAATGTAGATTAGATGTGTGGCCAGATTGACTAATGTCCATAGTATGCTAGTCAAACGTATGTGTGGTCCAAAACCGATTAGTCGACTATAATCGCCCAGTGCTATATACAAATGGGGACAGTTATCCGGTATAAACTCCAACAATGTGTTTACTAATAGATACTGTAAGTGAATAATATTGTTATGTTTACTAGCGGTTGACTAATTAGTTTGCGTTTATGTTCTTGTTTACTATCGGCTATTTGCGGCTCCGGTAGTCTAATATAGAGACCAATATAATATAGACAATTATTTTCATTTGGTGGCAATTGTAGGCTAACCGGTAAATTGCGATCACAATTGATTTGATTCATACTCTTATACTATTATATATTAGCTTTTTTATATAGTAATTATAGTAAAATATTGGTACTATTTATTTGATTAATAATAATTGTTTTAAATATTTCTTATATGAAAATAAGACTATATTTTATTTCTAAATATTTCTATTGAAATATAAAAATATTTTTCAGGAAATATATTACATTATATATTTTAAAACAACAAAAAAAATATTTATTTTTGATTATATCAAATATCAATAGTACTGCTTAAATTTACATTAACATTATTATATTATATACCTGTATATTAAAAAAAATATGAACTTATAATTTTGATATTACTATTATTGTTAATTTTAGTATATTAATGTTTGTTTATTATCATTAATAATATAGTTAATTACTTTTAAATAAATAAATATACATATATATTATATACTGTATATAATATACTATTATTTTAATTGTATAATACGTTTTTTTAAAATAATTTTTAAGGTTAATAATATTTTTTTAAAGTTTATAATTATTGTATAAATTATCATATATATTATAATTTTATGGTTAGTATGCCCATGATTTAATAACATGATTTTATTATATAATTATTATTTTAAGGTTTTTTATGATACTAATTAAAACTAAAACTAAAATTAAAACAAAACAAAAATATAATAAAAATTTCCATAATTATATAAATTTTAGCAATATTTTTATTTATTTATCTATACTGTATATATATAGTGTATATAATATACTAATGTTTTAATTGTATAATACTTTTTTAAATAATTTTTAAGGTTAATAATATTTTTTTTGCTATAAAATTATTAATATAATAATTATAAACTGCGAACAAAAATAATTATCAAAAATAAAATAAAAATATTATTAACCTTTAAAATTATATTTAAAAAAGTATTATGCAATTAAAACAAGATTAAATATATTAAATATATATTATAATTAAATTAAAATTTTAACTATAATTTTTTATTTATTTACAATTAATTAATCTAAATATAAAATAATGTTTTTTTTTATAAATATGATTTTTTATAAATAATATTTTTTTTATAAATAATATTTTTTTTATAAATATGATTTTTTTTGTCGACTAAACAATAATTTCTTAATTAAGATTTTTTTACTTAAAAGAAAAATATTTAATTAATAAAAAAATAATGTTTTGCTATTAAATTTTTCGTCCAAAATATAAGGCATTCAATATGTTTCAAATTATATCCAATAATAAATAAAATTATAAATAAATTTAAATTAAATTAAAGCACATCTAGCTTGTCGACTATGTAGTATATTATACGACTGGCCCAACACATACTGTACATTTGAAGCTGTAAATATGATTACCAGGAATAGTGTGGCCATTACGGCAACAATATAGCCGAGTAATAAATGTTGGACCAATGAAAACTCTAGTAACAGTACAATATAGGCGCCCAAACTGACTACCGATCCTAGCAATGTCCAAACTGTTAGCAAATATTTTGACCAATACGTACAATTATATTGATCAATTTCATAACATAGCTGATCGTATTGTTTGAGCACCCGATCCTCATCAATGCCCATTGCTAAACGCCTACGGTTCCTTACTAGCAATTTACTATTGATAGTACGTATTTTCAATTTCAAATATAGACATAGTATATAGAAATAGTATAGTTGCCATAGACTGATACCGTAGTTATAGTAGCCTACCAGGCCAGTATGCAGGCCGTTTAGGAGGCCATATCCAAGTGTATCCCACGGTGACAATAGTATAGCATAGGGTATGACTACTATTAGGCCCATAAACGGTGTCGTACGTCGTACAGCAAACCAGGTCCACCGGTATAGACGTTTGGCTTGACGGGCCAATCGGAAGACAGCCCGGCGATTGGTTAGGCCAACCGATTCGGGCGATCGCCGGCCGGTTAGCACCGAGAATATTGACAGCAAAAATGCCGGTTCATTATGACGACCACCACTATCACTACTACTACTACTAGCACTGGACAGCAGGTAATGGTAGTTATAAATGTATATTAAATGTGTAGACAGATTAACTAATGTCCATAGTATGGCACACAAATGTATGTGTTGTCCTAAACCGATTAGTCGACTATAATCGCCCAGTGCTATATACAAACGGGGACAGTTATCCGGTATAAACTCCAGTAATATGTTTGCCAATAGATATTGTAATAATATAGTTATATTTACTAGCGGTTGACTAATTAGTTTGCGTTTATGTTGTTGTTGATGTTTGCGACTATCGGCTATTTTAGGCTCCGGTAGTCTAATATAGAGACCAATAGTATAGAGACTATTGTTTTCATTTGGTGGCAATTGTAGACTATCCGGTAAAATGCGATCACAATTAATTTGATTCATACTATTATACTATTATTATATTAGATTTATAGTAAATTTTAATTAACCAAATATTATTATAATTTATTTAATTATAATAATGGTTTAAAAAAATTTTTTTTTGAATAAAACTATTATTTTATTTTTTAAATATTTCTATTGAAATGATAAAAATATTTTCAGGAAATATTACTTTATATTTTTGAGAACAGCAAAAAAAATATTTATTTTATTTTATCAAATATCAATAATACTGATTGCATTTATATTAATATTATTATACTGTATTATAATTTATATATATAAAATTATGAACTTATAATTTTGATATTACTATTAATGTTAATTTTAGTATATTAATGTTTGTTTATTATCATTAATAATAAAGTTAATTACTTTTAAATAAATAAATATATAGATACTGTATATAATATACTATTATTTTAATTGTATAATACTTTTAAAAAAAAAATAATTTTTAAGGTTAATAATATTTTTATTGTATTTTTATTTTTTGATAATTATTTTTTGTTTGCAATTTATAATTATTGTATAAATTATCATATATATAGTTTAATTTTATAGTTAGTATGCCCATGCTTTAATAACATCATTTTATTATATAATTATTATTTTAAGTTTTTTTATTATACTAGAAAAATCAGAAAAATAAAACTATGATATAATAAAAATTTTCTTAATTATATAAATTTTATCAATATTTTTTTTTTATTTATCGATACAGTATACGATATAGTGTATATAATATCCTATTTTTTTAATTGCATAATACTATCTTTTGAAAAATTTTTTAAGGTTAATAATATTTTTTTACTATAAAAATTATTTATATAATAATTATAAAATGCAGACAAAAATAATTTTCAAAAAATAAAAATATTATTAACCTTTAAAATTATTTTTAAAAAGTATTATGCAATTAAAACAAKAGWATATTATATACAGTATATATATATATTAAATATATATAATTATTAAATTAAAATTTTAATTMTAATTTTTTTATTTATTTACAATTAAATAATCTAAATATAAAATATTTTTTATAAATAATATTTTACTACAATTRCTATTATAAGATTTTTTTGTCGACTAAACAATAATTTCTTAATTAAGTTATTTTTTTAAACTTAAAATAAAAATATTTAATTAATAAACAAAAAAAAATGTTTTGTAAATTAATTTTTCGTCCAAAACGTTTGACATTCAATATGTTTGAGATTATGACCAAAATTATTGGGAAATTTTTTCGGCTGATCACTGAACTCATAATACGGTCGTATTAGTTGATCGCCTATATTATAATATGCTGGCCATTGGGCACCAGGAGTTAGAGGTACTGATGGCCTATCCGATTTGGCAAATGTTGTAAACGTTTGGATCATATGTCTGGATAGTAGACGTTCCTCATTCAGATAACGATCCGGATCCATGTAGGGGTTACCAAACAGATAGTATATATCATCGAAATGACAGGCACCCGACCATCGGCTACAAAACAGTTTAGGCTGACCCAGTTTACTATTGAAATAGTATTGATAGACATGGGCACCACCATCACCACCTATTGAATGTACTAATTGGCCAAACTGTATGCTTGAACAGCCCAGAACCATATCGCCCAGGGCTACAGCCAATTGTTGGCGCAACCGATCCGGTTGGGTATCATTGGATAGACCAGTAAAATAAAACTTRACAATCAGTTCACGAGTTTCTAGACTWAKATTRGGTTTAAATATGGAKATAAGTGTCCGAAAATCRTGGACTACACTATCATAATCWACAGRTTCAGGTGCTCCGTGTATGTCATATTTTTGWSGRTTYAGGAACTGTAGCATAATAGTACCCTCATCCTGGGTAGTACCAAATAGTAGATTCAGACTACCCTGTTTGTTGTTAAACMCARTTAGTTGWCTGTCAAAYWGTTTGGGTATAATTATATCRTCGGGCACTAGTAGAAAAAWAGGYKTACCATCACCGACATGATCKATRAGGTTAGTTAGCTCATCGGCTGATTTTGATTTTAGACAATCAAACATTTCRGGTGTAAATCTAATAGCATCATCATTACTACTACTACTAGTGCTGGGATCACCAGTTTTAKTATTATTATTAGGGCACCCGATCCTATGGGCAGCCCTGGCCCATCCACGCTGGGCATTAGCGGGCGATATCAACGATCGTTCACTGACCACTGCACCCGACATTGCTATAGCATTGCGAAACAATRGTCGGCTAACGGCGACATAATATGYAACGAACTGAYACCGAACCGGCACTTTCGCCCACAATGGTTACCCTCTGGGGATCGCCACCAAAGTAGACGATATTATCCTGAACCCATTCCATGGCCAACGATTGATCCCATAGTGCCTGATTGCCCTGAGCATCATCAGCTCCTGTACCCGTATATAACAGTCCAAACGCATTCAAGCGATAATTGATGGTAACGACCACTACATCGCCCAGTGCTGCCAATACTTTCCCATTATAAAACTCTTCGGCTGCCGATCCCCAAACCAAACCGCCGCCGTGTATCCAAAACATGACTGCTTTCGACTGACCAGTTTGTCGGCTACTACTCGGTGACCATATATTCAAATACAGACAATCTTCGCTTTGCGTAACATTATTGTAATCGTTATGAAATTTTTTGTGATGACATGCCGGTGCCCAGTGTCCGGCATCGTAGGGTTCAGTCCATGGTTTGTTGTCTAGTGGTAATGATCGGCGAAATCGTAGCTCACCTACCGGTGGCTGTGCATAGGGTATACCCAGATATACGTCCAACTGGTGGCCATTATAGCTATCCCGTAGACCATTGACCAAACCTTTACTTATCCTAACGCTTACTATATTATCGTTTATGTTATCATTGATCGCACAATTGCTAACATCTATTAGCACAACAAGTAATAATAATAATAATATATTTAAAATAATTAATAAATTATTATTTTTGTTAAACATTATTATTATTATTATTATTACAATATATATAACTATAAATAATTTGTTTTTGTTGATTCAACTGATATCTAACATTTATATATATACTATACTATTATAATAATAATAAAAAAATTTTTAAACTAATAAATATTATTTCTAAAAACTATTTTATGATTAGTTTTATTATTAATATATTTACTGTATATATATATATATTTTTTTGTACTTAAGTAATAAATGATAAAATTATCAATGTTAATACAATTTTTATATAGTTTATACTGTTTATTAATACACTTTATATATATAATTATATATTAAAGAGCAAGGTCAATTGAAGTACTGTAGTTAATGATTAAATAGTAATAATAAATTTAATATTAATACAATTATTTATATATATATATTTATAATATTATAATAAATATTTATTATTATTTGAAATTTAAAAAACAATTAATTAACATAAATAGATAAATTTGAATTAATTTTTTCAAAAAAAAAAATTAATAGTTGTATCAATTGTATTATTAACCTTGTAGATATTATTTATTAATAATAATAATAATTTAAACTAAAATACCATCTACAGTTTATTAAGTAAAACATAAAAATATTGAATATTTTTTTTTAATTTACAAACAAAAAATTATAATTATTTAATTTTAAATTAAGTTTTAATAAACTATATTAATCAGTATTTTTTATAATAATAATTATTATTTTAAGTATAAAAGTATTAATTAATAACTAATTACTAATAATTTTATTGTTGTAATAATATTTATATTTTTAATAATAAAATCATTATACAGTTTATTATATTCTAATATAGTATATATATATACTAAATATTTTATTTTATTAATTAATTAATTATTATTTTATTAATGACACTCCCATTGAATTACACACTTATCTTAATATACTGGCAAAACAATTGCCTAAATTGACGGCCAAACCAAAAATATATGACCGGATATAGTAGTGTCGATATTAGAAACAAATAATAATATAAAAAACTATTAATATTTATGCATGGATTTTGTGATTTATTTATGAAACTTTTCATAATATTTCTGACAATATTTGTATAAAACATACTATTAGTTAATAAATATACTATCAGTACAATCAATAGGCGTCCAAGAATCCAATAGCCAAAGTTTACGTCCCTTTTCATAGTGTTTCGTACGAATACAATCAATATACCAATAGTATAGAATAGTATGATTAGTCCGGGTATAAACAATTGTAGGATAAGCCTCGTTAGGGTTACACTAGTTTTATACGGGCGACTAGTGGCCAGCACTGGTAGATAATCGGGTTGATGTCGGCAAACTAGTTGACTCCGGGCATAGTTAATATAGTAGATATCGTTGGTTACCAGAAACGGTACGGACAACAATAGACTGGCCGTCCATATGCTAGCTATTAGCGTACGGGTAGCCAAACGGTTTAATGGATTCAAGTGCTGGAATATACGGGTCAAAGTCATATAGTGATCGTAGGATAACAGTGCCATCGATAGTGAGGTTACATACAGTGACCAGGCATTGGATACGTTAGCCATTGATTGTACACAATTGAGTACTACTGGTGAAGCGCCGGCATATTCAAGCACTGGTATGTAAAGAAAACATGAAAAACTTGATCCAATTGTCATCAATAGTCCCGATAGGGCTATGTTTGTCATCAAAATTTTCGGTCTTTTTGTTTGAATTGTATTATTATTATTATTATTTGTATTATTTTGTTTGAATGAATTAAACATAACTTTAATTATAATAATATCCGATATAATAAATATTGTTTGCATCGATAATAATATTATAAAAATTATTTTTTGATTAAAATTTATATTTAAACTAAATATTGTACTATTATTAATACTATTATTATTATTATTATTTGATATGTTAAATAACATTTTATTTTTGTTTAAAAAAATAATATCTATATTGTATATAAAATAAATATTATTTTCAACTATTTTATTTTAATAAAAACATATTTTTGAATTATTAATTAAATTTATTAACATTTTAATATATAAGATATTTACTGATACAGTATATAATGTGTATATAATAATAATTAAATATTAATAAAAAAAATGATTTCAAGTATAGATATCTAATTATACATAACAAATATGACGTAATATCATCCTGTATAATTTTAATATAAATAATTTAATATATTACAAAATAATAAAATAAAATAAAAATAATATTACAAAAATATTTTCAATTTAAATATCTATAAATTTTATATATATTCAAATATAATGTTGAATATATTATTTTTTAAGTTTTTTTATAAAAAATTTTACAGGATGATAATATCATATTTACATTTTAATAATTATATCATCCTGTTTATCATATCTATTAATATATAATTTAGTATAATATTACTAATTATAATATTAAATTTATAGTACATTATATTTTTCTAGTAATCAAAAAAAAATATTTATATGATTATAATGTGAATTTGAATATTTAAAAAATAAAATTTAATTTAAAACTACAATCATATAGTTATTGATATAATATTACATTAATTATATGATATTTATAATTTTAATAACACACACACATACATACATACAAACACATACATATGCACACACACACACACACACACACACACACACACACACACATACACACATAAACACACACACACACATATATATATACACATATATACACACATATATACACACATATATACACACATATATACACACATATATACACACATATATACACACATATATACACACATATATACACACATATATACACACATATATACACATATATATACACACAACTCATCATAATTTTTAGCTTTTCATATACTGGCAAAACAATTGCCTAAATTGATGGCCAAACCAAAAATATATGACCGGATATAATAGTGTCGATATTAGAAACAAATAATAATAGATATAACTATCTGTAGTCAGTATACATGGATTTTGTTTCATATATTTGAAATTATTGACAACATTTTTGATAGTATTTGAATAAAATAGAAAATTTGTCAACAAATATACTATCAGTACAATCAATAGGCGTCCAAGAATCCAATAGCCAAAAGTTATGTCCTTTTTGAGTGTATTACGTATGAATACAATCAATATACCCATTGTACAGAATAGTATCACTAGTCCGGGTATAAACAATTGTAGGATAAGTCTCGTTATGGTTACACTAGTTTTATACGGACGACTAGTGGCCAGCACTGGTAGATAATCGGGTTGATGTCGGCAAACTAGTTGACTCCGGGCATAGTTAATATAGTAGATATCGTTGGTTACCAGAAACGGTACGGACAACAATAGACTGGACGTCCATATGCCAGCTATTAGCGTACGGGTAGACAACCGGTCCATTGGATTCAAGTGCTGGAATATACGGGTCAACGATATATAGTGATCGTAGGATAACAGTGCCATCGATAGTGAGGTTACATACAGTGACCATGAATTGCATACATTAGCCACTGATTGTATCAAATTTAGTATTTTAGGTGAAATACCGGCTATACTACTGAGCACTGGTATGTATAGAAAACATGAATAACTTGAACCGATTGTCATCACTAGTCCCGATAGGGCTATATTTGTCATCAAAATTTTTGGCCTATTATTTGTGTGTAAATTATTATTATTATTATTATTATTATTTGAATTATTTTGTCGTTTCAATGAATATAACATAACTTTAATTATAATAATATCTGATATAACAAACACTGATTGCATTGTTATTAATATAATGAAAATAATTTGATGTTTTAAATTCAATTGTAAATTTAATAGTAAATTATTATTATTATTATTATCATTATCGTTGATATCAATACTATTATTATTATTGATAATAATATTATTATTAATATTAATATCAATATTACTAATGTTAAACGACATTTTTATTTATTTAAAAAAAATATTATTAAATTTGTTTTAATTAAATTTGTGTAATTTTTTTATATAAAATAGTTATTAAATATCACATAACAAATGTAAAAATATATATATAATATACTTTATATCTATATTATTTAATTTAATTGCTTCAAAATAACTAATAATAACTTAAAACATCAATATTTTATTTTTCAAAAAAAATAAAAACGGAAACTAATTTGTTTTGTTTAGCATTTAATGTTTTTTTACCCGCAAATTATATACATTTAATACATTTATTTACATTAATTTGTTTTATTTTTTAAT